TACCATTCTGCATTAATACACATCAAAAACCCTTATAAGAAGCATCACTAAAAATAATAAATCCATCCGTACCTGAGGATAGGGTAAGAATCGATGCAATCACGAGTCGAGTCTTCAACTCTTGGAATGCTGATTCTCTCTGATCGATCCAGTCAAATGATGTTCCCTTTCGAGTCAACTGAGTCAATGGTAGAGCAATTTTGGAAAAATCCTTCACAAATCTTCTGTAGTACCCGGCTAAACCTAAGAAACTCTGAATTTTAGTAACGTTAGTCGGTCTGGGCCAATTTACTACTACTTCAATCTTCTGTGAGTCAACTGAGATGCGATCCTTACTAATCACATGTCCCAAAAACATAACATTATCAAGCCAAAATTCACACTCTGTTAGTTTTGCATACAGTTTCTGTTCTCTTAAGGTCTGTAAGGCACTTCTCAAATGACGTTCATGTTCGTCCTTACTCTTGGAATAAATCAAAATGTCATCTATAAAAACAACCACAAATTCATCGAGGAATGGTTGGAAAACTCTGTTCATAAGGTCCATAAATGCAGCAGGTGCATTAGTAACTCCGAAAGGTATAACAAGAAATTCATAATGTTCGTACCTCGTTCGGAAGGCAATCTTTTCAATGTCCTCTGTTTTGACTTTCAATTGGTGATATCCGGATCTAAGATCAATTTTGGAGAAAACCTGAGCACCCTGTAACTAGTCAAATAAGTCATCAATACGAGGCAATGGATATTTGTTTTTCATTGTTACTTTGTTCAGTTCACGGTAGTCAATGCAAAGTCTTAGTGAGCCGTCTTTCTTTTTCACAAATAAAACTGGCGCGCCCCACGGTGAAGTACTGGGCTTGATGAACTTCTTATCCAATAATTCTTGCAGCTGAATTTTTAATTCTTTCAATTCCGCAAGTGTCATTCTGTACGGAGCTTTAAAAACTGGCTGTGTACCCGGTAAGACTTCAACAGTGAACTCTATCTCCCTATCAATCAAATCCCCTGACAAGTCATTTGGAAAGACATCTGGGAATTCTCTGACTATAGGAATACTGTCCACATTAGCTTTGGTATCAGCAGGTACAGTCAATATGCAACATAAATACCCTTTACACCCCTTTTTAATCAATTTAAAAGCTTTCATGCACGAAATCAGATATGGGGGAGGTACTACACCAACTCCGTTAAATACAAATTCAGGCAATCTAGGTGGACGGAAAATAACTTGTTTCGTTACACAGTCTATGGTAGCATAATATTTTGTTAACCAGTTCATTTCTAAAATTACATCGAAATGATCAATATTCAAAACCAGCAAATCAATATACAAAAGTGCATCCCCAATAACAATCTCACATGCAAGATACACATAAACACAAGTCATGGATCCCCCAGCAGGTGAAGATACAGCTAACAAATAGTTCTTGGGTTCCAGTGGTCTATTTAATTTTTGTGAAAAAGCATGCGAGACAAATGAATGTGTAGACCCCGAATCAATCAGAATATAAGTATTTTGGGCACAGATTGAGAGTATACCTGACACAACTGTCTCGGTGTTCTGCACGTCTCCCGATACAAGTGCAAACACCCGGCCTTGCCTTAAAGGCTCATTTCCAATGGCTTTGGGGTTGGGTTTTGGTGTAACAGTTGATGCTGCGGCACTAGCTGGAGCCTTACTATTGCCTTGAGATGTGGAAGGGCAATCTTTGACCATGTGGCCTACCTTGCCACACTTGTAACAAGTACCAGAAATTTTATAGCAAACCCCTTTGTGCCTCTTTCCGCATTCGGAGTAGGGTGGTATGAAATTGTTTCCCTGACTAGAGCTGCTTGTTGACCCTGTGTTTTGCTTCTTGTTCAATGAACTGTTCTGGCCTTTCTTAAACTTAAAGCCCCGTCTTTTACCGCGCCACTCAGTCGCTGGTGTTTCAGTCTGTTTTAGTGCTTCGATATTCGACTCAGCCATTATTGCTCGGTCAAGAACATCCACATATTTAAGTAACTTTAGAACATTGATTCGATCAAGTATTTCTACATTAAGCCCGCCTTCAAAATTTCTGGCCTTTTTGTAATCGGTATCAACCATGTGTGGTGCATATCGGGCAAGTTCAGTGAACTTAGATTCATATTCTGCTACGGACATGGTACCTTGTTTCAATTGTTCAAATTCGGTCACCTTGCGGTCTCGAACACACTGGGGAAAGTATTTTTCGAAGAAAGATTCCTTAAACTGAGCCCAAGTCATGGCATTGTTGGTGTCACGGATGAGCATCCACCACCGTCCGGCCTCTTCTTGTGAAGTGAAGGTAGCCAGTAATACCTTGTGTGCTTCAGAACAAGGAAACACTTCAAACAACTTTTCAGTTTCTAAGGCCCATGCTTTGGCCTTTAGCGATTCAAGGCCTCCTTGGAATGATGGTGGTTTCATTTTGTTGAACTTCTGTGTCAAAGCAATAACATCATCATGAATATTCTGTTCGGGTTGTACTAGAGGAGGTGGGGGCTGTTGGTTCTGTTGTTGCCTTAAGGCCTCAGTCAACAGTTCAACCGTTCTTTCTAACCTTGCCATTCTTGCCTCAGATGATTCAGATTCATCTTAGCATCGTAACCGGCCAGTAATCCGTGATTACCAAAGGCTTACTTAACAGTAATAACAATAGTACAGAGTAAGGGGCTGGCAGAAGCCAAACAGTAAATAAAATATGTCCAATAAGCTGTGAAAAACTGAATGGAAAAAGACTTTTATGAATAAAGCCACGTCCATAACCAAAACATATATACATATCAGATACACATAACATCCAGGTTAGGGACCTAATCCCTTTACCATAACTGTGCAGTCGAGTCTCAAACATTCGTTACAAAATAGAGACAAAAGGGTGACTTTGGAACACCCCAAAACAACCTTGGCTTGAACAGACTCGGGACCTCGAAGTGAGGCATAATGGTTGGCTTGACAAAACGTGAGCTTAACTTGACGCATCTAGCCTCGGTCCGGTGCCTGGCCACCTACATATAAATATAAATAGTGAGCTAAAACCCAGTGAATAACAACTGTGTAAAGAGGTTAAGAATGAATGTCCTTTCAGTAATTAAAACAGTCATTTGCATCAGTAGATCAATTATTCAATCAGTGACTAATAGTTCATGTCATATCAGTCATTTAGAAACCATAGTAGTCATATGTGGTACATCCAATAGCAAAACAGTACAGTAGGTCTTAATAGACCGAACAGTCAGTTGATGGCCATCAGAACAGTAAATAGTAGTAATTCCAAACATTGGAACTGACAGAGATCTCTGTAACAGTAACAGTAAGTTGCTATGGATGCCACGAGTACAGTTTACAAATAGGACAAACATTCATTCAGTAAGTAATGTCATTTCAGAAAGCAGTACAGTCAATCGCTCAGAAATAATTATAATTGAACGTATCTTTACAACATTGTTACTCACAGAGCACTGGGCTATAGACAGGCTAGACAGCGTCCTCGGGTGCCAACCCTACATAGTTGCAGAACGAACACACACTAAGTTACACACTTGGGATTAATAGCTTAGCCCTTAAACTTGACTTGGTGTGGTTCTATAACATTATCCTTATTAAGATGCCTTAAACTTGACTTAGGAATGCCTAGGATGAAATGAGGATGCAAAAAATGTACTTTAAAATACTTTTCAAAATTAGCTGAAACAAGAGTCCACGCTAGAGCGAACATGCAGACAATGAAGCTCCGCTCGAGCGTGACTTCCTTCGCTCGAGCGGGCTGCAAACTTAAGAAAAGTACTGGTTGCATGATATTCACGCTCGACGGACGCTCGACCTGCGCTCGAGCGTGAGACTCAGACCCTTGCTTAAGCGGACTGCAAAACACATGAACTTCTAGGCATGTGCATTTCACGCTCGAGCGTGACTTTCTTCGCTCTAGCAGAAGTGCATGTACTCAGAGTGTACGCTCGAGTGTGAAGTCCTCCGCTCGAGCGTGGATCCAAAATCTGAAATTTCCAGATTGATCCTCAAGCACAAAACTCAACTTCTAAAGCGTCAAACTCGATTCTTTTGGGCTAATTTTCTGGAAAACCCTTAGAAACCCATAGTACAACATGTTTCAAAGATCATTTTACAAAATCAAGCCCAAATGTGTGATAATTAAACACAATTTTGCATGAAACTTGAAGAATAATGCAAGAACATCGCATGCATGAGTTCCTATGAACTCCAATGCTCTAAAACATGATCAAATGCAAGATTGAACTTTAAAACATGGTGAATTCTTGGACTACAACTAAAATATGAACTTGCATGTAAGAATTTTCATGAAAACAACCTCAAAATTCCATGATATGGACATGCATGCATGAATGGAGCTAATTCTTGACCCAAATCACTAATTTCTCATGAACAATGCATGTAACAACTCAAATTCATAATCAAGAGGGTGAGTTTCCTACCTTAGGTCTTGAATTCCAAGTATGCTAGCTCAAATTTGCAAAACCTCTTCAATTTTTCTATGTTCAAGCAAAATTTCTAGTTGAACTCAATTCTTTCCTCACACTCCCTCTCTCTCACGGTTTGGCAAGAAGATGGATGAAAAGAGGTGTGCCAACATGTATTAAAGAGAATAAACAATGGCCTAGAATTGTCCACTTAATGGCAATAAGGTAATTTACTTGAACTAATGTGATTTAACTTTATTTAATCTAATTTAATCATTCCAAATCAAATTTTAATTAAACCTACCATAAAATCACATAAATCCTAATTAGCATATAACACTAATCAATTTCTGAATCGGTCGCCGATAAGACTTTCAATTTGCAATTCAAAGTCAAAATATGAACAGATCATTAAATGACAAACATATAGAAATGAAACTAAAGCAAAACACTCATACAAAATATCAGGATTTCGTTTTAATCAGTTACTTATCATGCTCAAACACAGTTTAACACTATTCAGAGGTGAGGGTTGTCACACATATGGGACATTTGGATTTATGGACCCTATGTGCATGTTAACGGGCTTTCTCATTGAGAAGTCCGATGTTTATAGTTTTGGCATGATTCTTCTTGAACTTCTGGCCAGGAAAAGATCCATAGACTGGTCCCGTGACAGAAATCAGCAATCCTTACTAGTATGGGTGAAAGACTCTATTGAAAATGATCAATTCAATGAATTTGTGGATCCAAGAATTCTGAAAAACAAAGGAGGAATTGAGCAAGAACAACAATTACAAGTTGTACTAGCACTTGCCTTGAGATGCACCCAATATAACAAAGAAGATAGACCAGAAATGATCGATATCACAAAAGAACTCAGGCGAATGCTCAAGTCTAATTGCCCTCCCTCATCAACTCAACCATAACAATCCACCATTTTTAAGATGATGATGATGACGACTATGATGACTATATGCTTTATGCATAGTAACCAATTTATAGAATTATGTATTACATGTTATTATATATGCTACTACTCATCTCTCTCGTTGTTATATATTGTTAAACCATTCTGTTTGCCTCTCCATTGTTTGTGAGGTAGAAAACTTTTGTGATAACCCTGTTCCATATTATGCTAATTGGTCCTTATTATGAATGTGATTATGTGTTTGATATGATTCTGTGTGCCATTTATGTGAAAATATGTGGGTTTGAATTTCTATCTGTTCACCATAGGAATATTTGTTTGAGTATCTGCTTTGGAATTTAAATTAAAGGCCTTATCGGCCACAGAAACCAAAATTGATCGTGCCATTGTGATTGGCATAATTTTTAGAGCCTACGGTGAAATTTAATTAAAAATTGATTCGGATCAAATTAATTAGATTAATTTAATGGTGTAGTACTCAAATTATTTAATATTAATAGGTATAATTGAGGGAAATTGTATAAGTGGGGCACTATGTACTCAAATCTCCTCTTTAGCATTTTATTTAGCTGATTCTAACTCTAGAAAAGAGGAAGGGCCGGCTAGAGAGAGAGAGTGAGAGGGAATAATTGGAGTTTGATCATTGAAGCTTGAAAATCTTGAAGATTAAGCTCAAGAATTAGTTAGAGCTTGGGTGTTTAAGGCTCCTAGGTGAGTAATCAACCCTTGACTCATGGATTTTAGTTTGTAATTTGTAGATTCCAAATTGAATGATGATAAAGAACATGAGTTAAGTTGGTTTTGTTGAATTGGAAGCCAATATGTACATGCATGTAAGAAATTGCTATAAATTTCCATGTTTGAGCATAAAGTGTGTAATCCGTGTTGAATTTTGATTGAAGTCCATGTATTTGACCATCTCTTCACTAATTAAGTTGAGAATAATGAGTATCTCCCACATGCATGTGCAAATCATGGAGGTGTGAGTCTTGAATGTTTGAATTGAGCATGTTGGTGATGAGTTTGGGATAATTTGAGTCATGCATGTAAGTAATTCTTGGAATTGAGCTTCATAATGTTGTAATTTGGTGTTTATACCATGTTGGTATATGTATATGTGGAGTTTGAGCCAAAATCATGCATTTAGAGCCTTTGAATATCAAGTTGAAGCTCAAGAACATGTTCTGGAAAATCCAGAAAATTTGATGTTTGCTCGAGCGGGAGAACCGCCGCTCGAGCGTAAAATTCGGGCTCCCAGTATTTTCTGCAGACATGATGTCCGCTCGAGCGAGGAAGTTCACGCTTGAGCGGGGAGCCATGTAGTGAGGCCTTCCGCTTGAGCGCCAGAATTCACGATCGAGCGTAAATATGAGATAACAAGTACTTTTGCAGACCTAATGGGTCCGCTCGAGCGGGGAAGTCCACGCTCGAGTGGGGACCCCTGTTTTTGAAATTTTGAAAATGCATTATGTGTTTCGTTTTCTGTTCTCTTTCACTTCTAAGTACTCTTAGGCATGCATTGGGCATTATAAATGAGTTAAAATGATAAGAATGAAGCCTAAAGAGGAATATGTGAATTAGAATGGATTGAATTGTTTGTGACCCATTGTGTTCATGGAATGTGTAGGGTCGAGCTCCAGGGCAAATCATCCAGCCGATCACTGTGAGTAATATCTTAATAAAGATATGTGTTGTTTGTCCAATTGCTTACTTCCATGTAAGTCTTATAAGTTTGTTAATTTGAATGGTGGACAAATGTTTGACATGAGAGAATGAATGGGCCAGAGGCCAGTATGAGTCTGAATGATAGAATGAATGGGCCAGAGGCCAGTATGAGTCTGAATGATAGAATGAATGAGCCAGAGGCCAATATGAGTCTGACATGAATAAAAGAATGGTTGGGCCAAAGGCCAGTCCGACATGAATAAAAGAATGGTTGGGTCTAAGGCCAGTCTGACATGAATGGATTGGGCCCGAGGCCGTCCGATGTGTTTGGAACCGCAGCTGTTTGACCTATGTATATATATGTATTAAATAGAAATATGAATTGGGCCCAAGACCGTCCGATATATATTGTCCTAATGCATCTTCTTTATTTAATATTATTCACTGGACTTTCGCTCATGCTCATGCTCATTCATGTGTTTGTAGGTGAGCCGAGAGAGGTCCAAACCCAGCCTCAGTGAAGTTTGTGTGGGACAACCAAGGTTTTGAAGAGTCAGCCTTACGTCTCACGCACGAGACTCGTCTTCACCCTTTTGTTATCTTATGTATTTTGTTATGTTGGTGAGGACTTTGGAACCGTTTGTATATAGTTTTGATAGGCTGACTTAGACTTGAATGATCCTGTCTATACAGAACTTCATGTCACTGTATTTTGATGTGAGTTCTTAATATGTACATGTATAGTCTGTTTTGATGTGCCATGTAAGCACAACTCTATGGACAAAGTTTTAAATTTTGCTTCCGTTTAGCCCCTCTACTCTGTTGACTTATGTCTGATTTAGTTTGAGGCCGTAGGTAATCCCTCGATTACTGGCCGATTATGCCCTTAACCCATGGGGGCGGGTTCGGGTCATGACACTTTTGCTCTACAAACTGATTATTCAAAGTATATATATATATATAAATATGGCAACTATTTTAATGTTATGAGAGCATGTGTGGTGTGTTCTGATTACTGAATTGCAATCTCAGTGTATGTCTTTTTACTATGATGAATATCATTTGTGCAGTCTCTGTGTATTTTTTTTTCTCTCTTCCATATGTTGCTATGTTATGCATACTTAATTTGGTTGGAAAGTATTAAAGCTCAATAGTTCTTGAGCTGTAATTGCTAGGAATTGATATTTTAGTTTGGCTACAAATTGACGCTCAACATGTAATGCACCAATATTTCTCATTCATCCTCTGTTTGCCCTCCAAATCAAAAAGGACAAATGAACATGGAATGCACCAATATTTATTACACTTTTCACCATCCCTATATTTTCATCAAAATTTCACTTTAGTCCCTATAATTTCAAATTGAACAATTTGATCCCTACATTTTAAGTGTAATTTTAATTTGGTGTTTTCATCTAAATTGGAGGTTAAAAATAACAATTTTGAAACACCAATCAATTTTTTAAGGTGAATACGTAGACAAAATTAATAGAAATTTATACGGAAGGACCAAATTGAAATTGAAGTTAAAGTGTAGGGACCAAATTGTTCAAATTAAAATAAGGACTAAAGTAAAATTTGAGTCAAACTATAATGGTGAAAAGTGTAATTAACCCCAAAGAAATAAAAAACTTTAAAGAAACTGAAGTACATTACATTGTTCTCTTTCTCTTTACACAGCCTTAAAATTTTCCAATTCAGTACACCCTCCTAACTCAAGTATAGCTAAGTGCTGAAACAAATTAAACAAATTTTTCATCACCATCTATCTAGAAATTACAACAGTTTAAACAAAACCATCGTTATGAATCCTCAAAATGGTGATCTGTCTCATCAAAGATTTCCTCCTACAAGGTGTTCAAATTATATGTCAATATATGGAACCATCTATGAAAATTAGTGGGACGATATAAAAAAACCAGGGATTTAAGGTACCAATGGAAGTTCTCGAATTTACCTGTAAAAGCTTTTCACTTTCTGGAGTGATCTTTTGGCCTTTAAAGCCTTCTCATGAGGAGTCTTTTCACCATCAATGTCTACCTTCACATCCGTCACTGAATCTGAGAAAGAGAGAGAGCATCAGAAAAAAAAAAAAAAAAAATTGTCCAAGCATTCAAAGCATGAAATGGAGCTTACTATGAGCAGGGTTCTTGCTAGAAGACTAGTCCTCTGTCTTATTGCACAGTCTTACAACAACAGCCATGTGACTGTGACCTTTTTGAAACTCATTCAAGATGTCATATAAGGGCATAGTTTTCAGAACCCTAGAACATAAAAACAAATGATTACATTCTCGTTGTATATAAAATAATCAAATTTAAATTTTCTTTTACATAATATATCCATACAAATAAAATAAAATAAACTTTTTTGGTAAGTTTGTTGATTATTTGTTGATGCTTTTAACTTTCGATTTTCAATTTCTAAAAGTAAATAGTTGCCCCTCTTTGTAGTCTACTTTTGTGAATCGTTCTGTACAGCTGGTGGTGAGCAAGGAAAGGTGTTTTGTGGGACAAAGTGCTCTCAATTTATGGGGTGTGGAAGCGGAATATTGCGGTCAATATGGAGTAAGAACACTAAGAACATCAATGACAACGACAAGTACTACAACTTCTGTTCGGAACAAGAAAGAAAATTGCTAGAAAATGGAAGCATGTTATTGGAGGAGCTTATTGCTTTTTCCAATGGCAGATATAATATTCCTATCCGTAGATTCTGTCCACAAACTTTCTCAAGCAACAAATAGATTTTGCTTCTCCAATCAAATTGTGTCTTGACTATGTAGCTCTCTTAAGGGGTCTTTTTTAGGAATGCCTAATTTTTGTTAAGAAGTATGATGATCCTAACGGTCATCTGCATTCCAATGAAGTCAAGTCCTTTGCTATTCGTGGCCTAGTGGTTACAACATTGATGAGTAATCACAAGAATGTTTTAAAGCTAATAGGTTGTTGCCTAGACTTTGAATTTCCAGCTTCGGTGTATGAATGCACGGGGAGTATTGAATCATTAGCCAACCGCTTGTATGAAAGAAAAGGAGACATTATGGAGAATACTGGGTTACTAATGTGGAAAAGTAGGCTAAAGATCGCATATGACATTGCTTATGCCATTGTTTACATGCATACTGCGTTTTTAACACCCATCATTCATAGAGACCTTGCACCAGGTCATATTATCATAAACCAATTTGGCGTTGCTAAACTGATAGATTTCTCATTATCTATACCAATTCCTCCTGGTAAAAAGCAGGTGGAAGACCTGGTAATCAGGACATATGGATATGCAGATCCTGAGTACGTGCACACAGGCATTCTTACTGAGAAGTCCGATGTTTGTGGTTTTGGCATGATTCTTCTTGAGCTTTTGACTAGGGAAAAAGCATATGACAATAAACGTGGTAATAATCGTGAACTTCTAAATAATTGCGTGGAAGACTATGTAGACAATGACCAGTTCAATGAACTTGTTGATCCTAGAATTCTGGAAGGAGGAACCGTGCAAGAGCAACAATTTCAAGTTGTAATAGCACTTGCCTTGAGATGCACTCAAGAAAATAGAGAAGATAGGCCAGAAATGATTTATGTGGCAAAAGAACTCAGACGAATACTCAAGTCTATTAGCACCTCGTTACCTCAACAATAATAAGATAGTGACCATGCTTCATTCATAGTCGCAAATCATTGTTTTACATTGTTAAATTGTTTTGTTTGTCTCCACCACCCCTTGTGAGATAGAAAATTTGTGTTCTGCATTATGATTATTTACTAGTTGTAGCTACCATATTATTCCTAGGTTCTTTAATCTCTAGAATGCCCAAGTTTCAGGACTTCAATTTTAATGTTATGCGATCTTTTGTTCCGATTACTGAATTGCAGTCTTAACACATTATAGAATTTTGGAGTATTAACTTTACCCTCACATTCACAATATTCTTGAACTCAATGAACAAAATGCTTACTTCATTGAAGCATATATGGCTATGGAACTTTTGTTTATATATGACTAATCTGTACGCACAATTCAATTCACATTCTGCTGCAATAACAATTTTTTGTTTTGCATAGAACGCACAAGTCAGATTTTGAATCAAAAACAAGTAGCCCCTCTTTCATAATACAGTTTTGTGAAGCATTTTGCGTAGTGGGTGAGCAAGGAAGGGTATCGTGTGTGACAAAGTACGATCATTGTATGGGTTGTGGGAGAGGAACATTATTGTCAATGTTGAATAAGAGCAACCTCTGTTTGGATAGAGAAATTAGGACATTCCTGGAAAAAAATGGAAGGATATTATTGGAGGAGCTGTCTGTTGAGGAGCTTCATGAGGAAAATGGATTCATTATTCACTAATTATAACAAGCATACAGTTGAGATGTTTTAATTCATAAACCGTTTAAACTCGCTCGAACTTGCCCGATTGCCACCTCTATCCCGGAGTAATGAAAGCATTCTTTTCATTCGGATTAATTACCCTTTGTAACAGGTCTTCTAATATTAGTTGAAATTTCCCTCCATAAAATGAATGGACCTGGTCATACCAAAATGATGGTTTTTGCATTTTTTAGGTTAGTTGAATCAAAAATTTTACCAAACAAAATTCTATCTGTATATCATTTACCCAGTTGCAATATGCATGTATCAGGACTCACATATTTTTTTCTCTTTGCATAATTCATTTGTTCTCTGTCGTCTTGTAATTATCAATCATAGTCTCTTTTGTGATATATTTTTCTCTTTGCATTCTGTTTGTTCTCTGCTGGCTTGCAGTCATCGTAGTCTCTTTATATGCACACTGTGTTTTCAACACCTATCATCCGTAGGGACCTAAAACCAAGTAATATTATCATAGACCAATGTAGTGTTGCTAAATTATTGGATTTCGCGTTATCTTTATCAATTCCTTCTGGAGAAACACAAGTAAAATCCCTGGTATTTGGGACATGTGAATTTATAGATCCTGAGCACTTGATAACGGGCTTTCTCACTAAGAGGTACGATGTTTATAGTTTTGGCATAATTCTTGTTCAACTTTTGATCAGGAAAAGAACCTCAGACAAGAAAGGTAGCGAAAATTATCGACAGTTGTAGACGTCCCTGAACGCCCCGGGGAGGAACGAGTCCCCCGTTCCGTTCGATATTGGGCTCACTACAGTTCAGGACTCTAAAATTGTCACGGTTCTAAATCTGAACCAAAGAGTCCAAATCCGGCAAATCGTTTTGAGAAAACAGATTTTTGAAAGAAGTGCCAAACATGGACTGCTTTGCCAGATACAGAGTCGCCACCTAAATGTTTTATTTTGGGGAAATTTAGGAAACCCTGACTCGTTTCCTAAGGCCACGTGTCCGTCATCACCAAAGTTGCCTCGGCTCGGGAACTTGGAAACGATTGGGGAAGGTCACTTCGTGAGCACCCCCGCTCGCCCGATCAAAGATCGGCCTCTACTAACCATGATATCTAGTTTTGAAAACATTATGCGTTCTTATTCCGGTTATTAGCCTAGATTTACGCAACCATGATGAAATAATGGAAATGCTGAATCAAATGGCGGTCCAGCTGCAACAAGAACAGAACTGCACATTTCTACAAGCATGCCACTTGGCGACAGAATGGTACCAAAAACACATGCATAAAACGCCATGTCGCACTTCTATACTAACCGGGAATACATGGATATGCGAACTATATGCGGGGCATATGGGTCGCTTTGAGGAAAATGTTTGCATGCCGAAGGAAGTTTTTGCCGCATTGTGTGAGACATTAGTAAATGATTTTGGGTTACAAGTCCCGCAACGTCCACATGGCTTAGCTGTTGAAGAAAGCGTTGCGATGTTTATCCATGTCTTGAAAGGGAAGCAAAATCGGGAAATCCAGGAACGGTTCCAACATTCTGGGGAGACTGTGTCGAGGCACGTGCATAACGTATTAAATTCCATGAAAGAGTTCACTGTTGTCCATTGCCGGCCCACATACAGTCAGCATCGTATACATCCATACGTGAGGTCTAGACGGAAATACCTACCGTTCAAGGTACTTCAGCAAAACATGATTGACATATAAATCAAGACAATATATATGGTTTTTGTTATTAACTGCACGTGACAAATTTGAAACACTTGTTAC